TCAATTCACTTTACAGTGTGTTCTGTGAAGCGCTTTGGGACGTCCTCCCGACGTGAAAAGCGCTATATCAAATGCAAGGATTATTATTATTATTCAAGCTGGGCTGGATTTCTGCAGGTGGCAGCATTTTTCTAGGACCCCAGGCATATATGGCTGTTCTAGATACAAACCCAAAAGCATATGAAGATTATTCAGCCAAGATGAAACCCAATCTAGCCATCGTGCCCAATGACACCATGGCAAGCGGGGTCAAGCCTCCATCCACTGTCATCTCATCTGACTCAACCCACACCAAGAGTTAATCCTGGTCAATATGATTCAGTGACACCAGGAAAAGCATTGATTTACTGAGACACCACGGAGCTCTGAACACCAATGGCTAAAGTAGTCAGTACTTTGTTCCCGAGCTTCTCGTAATCTCTGTTTCAAACTACATGCATTTTGAATCTCTAACAATTGTCTATTTTGTGAAATGGATCCTGAACCAGGCCATCTGTTGCAGGGCATCTGGTTTATTAAAAAATACTTTCCGGTGTCTAAATTTTCCCTTCACAGACCTCTCGTGTCACTGTTTGGCATTTCTACATGATGACAATAGGGTCTATTCTCTAACCCAACAATCACTGTATTTAGGAGTCTTTTTAATGCATCAGTGGGTATCAAAAAGTGGAGATTTTGGATAGGCTGATCATTTCTGGTGCATTTGCCCATTCTTATAATTTCCTTCTCAAACTTAAGTGATTTACTGATTGCTCTTTCTTCTTGGTGAATTGAAATAATCTCCAGCTCATCCAAAACTCCAGAGTCTGTATTCTCTCCTGCACCAGGCTCTGCACAGTTCACCCCATCCTCACCAGACTCCACTTGCTCCCTGTTCTCTAGTGATTAAACTTCTAAGATTTTCATCCTAGCCTCTAACCCCCTTCATGATATCTCAACTCCACATTTACAGTCACCTCTATAACCATTCTCCTGTAACTCTGATCCACTCGTCATTCCTCTGTCCTAGAATCAATAGCTGACCCTTGACCATTACTTTGGTCAACAGCCTCAAATCCTTCCTCTCCCTGTTTAGTATCCACATTGAAATATTATCAATTATCCCATACTATTCCCATTTAAATACTATTTGTATTCGATATAGAGCATGCAACATAGAAACAACTCTCAGAACTTCACAGGTGATAATATAATCATAATCCTTGCATTTGCGCGCCTTATCACTTCGAGGCATCTCGAAAGTATTTCAAAGAATATACTCTGAAGTGAATTGACTGTATATTTTGTGGGCGAAACGCGGCAGCCAATTGAGCACAGCAGTGCCCCACAAACAGCCGTGGATTGAAGTGACCATTTTTAACAAAAATGTAACTATCGTTAAGTGCAGTGACTGTATTTGTCAACAAATTGGTAACCATTTTGTGCACAGCGAGGTCGTCAAACATCAGGGAATGACCAATTTGACTGGAGAATTGTTTCCCTCGACACCAGAAGAAACTCCCCTTCTCAAAAGCAAGTCATCAGACTCTATGTAATGGTTAGAGCCTAACATTACGATTTTGATACAAGTGAACAATATACAAAGAGATGCCAAAACAAATCTGGAGATTAGGATGTTCAAGAGAGGGATCAACTGTTGGGAAATTAGAAAAAACATACAATTCAGTTCTCAGAATAAATGATTTGTCAGGAGAAAGGTGTAGTGGGATTTTGACGTAATTTATTCAATTATTTATTTATTCAATTTGTTATAGAACATGTAGCCTCTATAGACTGGGTATGCCAACAAGCTGGTCAATTATATATCGTTTTAATATTTTCCAACAGAAAATCGCTGGCATTTCACATTCTTTGTTTGGAAATATTAATTCTGCAATGTTCAATCTAGTATAACATACAAAGCATATTCAAATAGACACGTGTCACATAATGTTTCTGAAAGGAAGCAACCAAATCCTATTGTGTGATCAAAAAAGTAAATTTACTTAGCTTCTAAATACTACTAGCTACCTTAAAGATAACTAGAAAGAAAACGTGCACCATGTGCCTGATGATATAAATGATATAAAACCACAGCAAGGATGCAGTACCCCCCTCAATAACCCTAAAGGCTCACAAAGATAGGTTTGGGTGAAGGCCTTGCACTCATTTGGTCTCATCTTTCCAGAATACTATGCAGAATACTATGATATTTCCATTACAGCAAGTGGATTCTTAAATGGGTCTTAACCTCTGTCACCTTTCCTGATAATCCGTTCCAGTGACTAATTAATTTTCGGATAAAAAAGTACCTCCTCTGTGTAAAAATTGTCCTTCACGCAGGAGTAGAATTGGAGAGCTACACAAGTGGACAGTCACTAGGTGCGAGCGAATACAGCAAATGTTGACAGGCTATGCACTTTAGGAAGCATTACAGCTGTGACCAATCCAGTTCTAATTCAACAAGTACACATTACAGTCAGGGCATCAAAGTATAGTAATCAAAAGCAGGAAACCTGTTTGATTAGAGAACCTTTCACAAGCATTACAGATGCTGAGGCCAATTGTAGCTCCAACTGCTGCTTTGGGCTGATGTCTGCTAACTCAGCAATCAGTTACCAAATGAACGACTTACTGATCTTATATTGAGAAAAGATTCACGGGGCTGTGGCTTCAGCTTTTACAAAAGTAAGCATTGGAGAAGACAGGAAGTACGAGATACCCAGTTATGTATGAACTGACATGCAGATAATACTACGGGACAAAATAAATTCATCTCACTCCATGTTGGCAAGAATGTCTGCCTAGTAATGTCACCATCTTGTAGAAATTGATCTTTCGAGTAGAAACAATTCTCAGACAATCATTGTATTCAAGCCTTATCAGAGTTGATCTTATGGGATGCCGTGCATGAACACAAAAAAGTAAATGGTTCAAAAATAATTGAATGCCTTCCAGTTCGCGTTTTGAATTGGCCTCACTCCACATTGCCAGTTGCGGAGTGGTTTAAACCTCTATTTTCACAACCCTGATTTATTTAATGTTAACATGTAGCTCACCTCAGGTTGGAATGTGCAAGATTTTACTTCTGGGTAAGTCCCCTATTGATTTGTAACCCAGGATGGACATCAAACTTTTACCACAGGTTCTAAAGTAACTCTGTTTCATATCTTACGTAGCAGTGTGTTAATTATCCATCGATGGAGTAAACCTGCCTGAGGAATAGTACCAGGAGGGTTAAGATGAACAAAGAGGTTTAAGGCTACAATGCAAAAGTGCTGAAAGCAATCAAAAACGGTAATTGGATTCTGGGCTTTACAGGAACATTGAATATGAAAGTAAAATACTACTGCAGTTATATGGGGCTGGGCATATTTAATTTTGGTCAGCCAATCATATGAAGGATGCCTTGGAGGGCATTCAATGACAATTCACTGGATTCATACATAGGGTAAAGACGATTTAGGTATGAGAGCTTGAGAGGGGCGCTTACAATAATGAGAATAATTGACAAGCTAGATACTTTTTCTTTTGGTTTGCCACCTTAAAATTAAAGCTAAGGTTGTTACAAGCTAAAGCAGAAAACAGAATGTTGTGAGAAAGTGGATTGCACTACCTCAGGAGGCTGTAAAGACAGAATCAATTAGGATATTTAAATGGTAGATACACCATTTGGGAAGTAAGTGCACTAAGTAAAGGATGGGGATTGGGATCAAAAGATCTGCCATGATCTAATAAATTAGAGCACATTTGATAGGCTGAATGTTCTTGTGTTTCTCCTGTTCCCACGTTTCTACGATTGTGATAAAATGTTGTGAGTTTGGATATCAATCACTAATATACCACTTAAAACTGTCATACACGTAGATGGTTTCAAGATGGAAGTAGATAAATATTTGACAGGACAGGGTATTAAGGGATATGGGGTAAGGGCGGGTAATTGGACTTGAGGTATAGATCAGCCATGATCTTATAAAATGGCAAAACAGGCTCAAGGGGCTGAATAGCCTACTCCTGTTTCTATGTATCTATATTTCTATCATTCTGCTAAGCAATTTGAACTAGCAGATTCATGAACATGTCAATGCTTTACATTTTTAGGATGCTTTCATTTACTTGAGTTCAAATACAGCAATATTAGCAGAGAATAGGATTCCGTTGATACCCGGAGCTCCCTGTATCACTCCTGAACTCTTTGGGCGCACTATTGGATTTACTCAGGTTTCTCTTACCCACCACCCCGCTAGGTCCATATTGAGCACTCGTGCTACATCAGGGGATTAAACCTGTGAAGCGTTTTGAGATGTCCACCCAATGTGAAAGGCACCATGTAAATATATATATTCTCTCCAAAAAAGCTGAATAGAAATCTGTATATTATAGGAATGGGTAAAGGTGGAGTTGATGAATATTGTACCATTTACAACCATTTTTGTGTTGCTGAGGCAAGAGAATCTGATCTGATGAGGTGAGAGAGGGCAGAATTCATCAGTGGAGATATGAAACCGGAGGAACATTAGGTGCAATGGAATCCACGATAAGGGAGGTTTAAAAGTCTCGAAACTGGGCTTTGAATAGCAAAAGGATTCTGTCCCATTCTATAATCCATAGCAAACATCTGTCATACGTAAATGGAAAAAGCAGCAACCACAACACTTTTTAAAATTGGTCATTGAAAAAAGTAGAGAAAAATGATTAAAACTGGAAAGACCTTCTCAAACTAATTTTGAGGGGCAAATCACTTGCAAAAAGATTGACAATGTCACATCCTCCAAAGCACAATGAGAGAGCCATCATCGAACTCTACTGCCAGTACAGTTCACCCCGCCATTGATCAGTAGGGATTCATCATGGTATGTGGTGCACTGGTTCCCCATTTCAAACAATGTGTGAAAGGGTAGAGAAGTTTCGGAAGCTCACTACACAGTCCACTATGCCATTGATTTGCTTCTGCTTCCACAGCCTCTGGGATCTGATCTCATGAGGCGTCTGCAACAAGTGATCATTTTCAGCCAGCTAAATATTTTGAAACTGAAATATTTATTAAGCACATTCCACAGTAAGAGCTATAACCAATAAACAATATCTGTACATTTAAGTCTTGGTGAACTGTCCAGACAACGTACTTTGCATTTAAACTGGAAAGTAGGCAGGGTTCAGAAGTACATGATAAATCATTGCCTTCCAGTGCTCTCAGTGTCAGTCGTACTGTCCCCAACAGTGTTTACAGCTGTGAGGACACATACTTGCAAATACAACCAATGCCAAAACACTCCTTAATCCTTAGTTCTCGCATTCTTTACATATCGTTCCACAGCTGCCAACTGGAAAATTGCTTCACAGTGACACACTGGGCACAGGACTCAGAAACAGATCTTTAAATTAAGCTATACAAAATATACATTTACACAAAGACAAAAGGTCTTCTTTGGACCAGATGTTATGTCGAAGTGAGAAACACAAGCAGTTGAATCTCTTTATGGGGGGTTGGGATGGCGAGAGTAGAATATAGTTCAGGTGAGGCCACAGCATTATAGTCAGGTTTTCATTCTAGTTTATAGTATTCAGTACATACATTAACTGCAGACAAATGCTATACAGATTAAAAGGTGGGTGCAAGCCAATCATTTAAAGAGAAAAAACAAGCTTTACGTTTCATCTTACCAATTGTATGCCAGTAATGGGCTTGACGAGTTTAAAGAGAAAGAGGAATTGGCCAGATGTATCTAGAGATTGGCACAGCCCGAGTCTTACGATCAGCGGGACCATTACCGTGTGCAGCAATACACGAGGAGAAACTAACTCATACAAACTCACAAATAATTAATACAAGAATCGAGGATGGGGTAGAGGTGGCGGGAGAAAGAAGGGAGAGAGAAAGAGATTCAATAGTTACCGTGACAAATATTTGCACATAACCAAAACAGAGGTTTTAAAATAGAACAATTCAAATTCAATGGGAGGCACGCTGCTGTAAGGGCAGAAAGGTTTACTGAATAATCAAAAAGCTAGTCAAGCTTTTTTGTCTACAAATCTGAATCGGGCACTGAAGTAATATGAGTGAGGGAAAATCATTTGCTGGACCTATAGATTTTTTTTTAGAAAAGACTGATATTGGTCTGAAAGGGGCACAGCAGATGACACATAAATACATGCTTTTCACAGTTAGTGCAAGTGTAGCCTGTTACTTTATTTATTTCAAAGAACATTAAGAAAAACACATGAAGGTTCAAATAGGTTACTATACAGTCAAGACACGACGATATATACAACTAGCTACATTCGACAGCTCGAATTGCATGTAATCTTAATTTGTAAGCAGCTACCACCTTCTATCAACTGCTCTACCTTAGTATAATGTATAAAAAAAAGAGAAAAAACCTTTTTCAAAAAGTCTTCAGGAATTCTTGTTTTCCTAGATCCGATATGCATCCGTAAGTCATTTGATGAGGTGCGCAGAGGGGCAGGGGGGGGCAGGAGAAGCAATGAAAGGCTGCCAGAATTGAGTACCTTTTTACGGGCTTTGGCAGAATGATACTTTCTACACATATCAAAGCGTTTGGTAAAATTCTGCTCCTTTTGCTAAAACGATATGGCACCCAAAAATGTTCAACAAATGAATTTTCTTCATAGCATTTCTCTGGACAAAGTGCAAAGCGATATTGAGAATGCCAAGTCCTTTCTTCAGACTGAAGACCCAGTTGTCTGAACAATCCATTTGCGAAACACTCAGCTTTGGGAAACCCAGATTTGTGTTAAGCATGGCAGACGGCTAGGCTCGTTAACGTTAAGTTTACAGTTCAGTAAATGTCACTTCAGAGTTCTGAGAGGAAAAAAGAGTGAAAGAAGAGAGAAAAAGAACGAGGCATGATACACTGATATCTTGCTGCCTCTGATCTGTCTGCAGCTACAGAAATCAGGTCGCCACAACTATCATGGCTCATTGAGCATCTTCAGGCTGCGATGCGGTAGCCTAATATCCAGTAGTAATTCCAGGCCCTGTGCAAGAAAATAAAGAAAACAATTAAAATTTACAATTGTATAAAGCAACCTCTTTTTCCTTGCCTCAATCCTTGCCCCCTTTTTGACAATCTTCAAATCACACCTGAACTTTCCTCTTTGACCTTGCCTTCAGTCACCTCCCCTCCCTTTCCCGCTCGGTGTCAAACCATGCTCTTGTTAAATGCTCCTGGACTTTACTTGAGTGAAAGGCCCTGTATAAATGCAAATTGTTGTTTTCACAGAACAAAGTACTGCCCAATCAAAGGAAATCTCCAAACAGGGCGAGAGTAGGGATTTGAAGATACATTTTAAGAGAGTTGCGAAAGCAGGGAGAAACCCAGGCAAAGGGATTGGTAGAAAGTTCCAGAGAACAGAGGCCTACTGACTAAAGGATCGGTGAGGCAGAGGGAGTGCGGAACAAGCAGGAGACCAGAATCAGACCACATATTTGAGTTGAAATTAATGGTCAGTACCAAAACCTGTTCATTTAATAGACAAGTAACAGAGACTGCGACTAGTCTTAGATAATGCAAATCCAAATGCCCCATCGCCACTAAAGTGCTGACTTCAGGTCGTGAATTGTGTATCATCTGAGTATCATCAGAATATTGGGGGGTAGAAAAAAGGAGGAAATTACACCATCTCAGATTCTGTCCTCATTCAATCTCTACATAAAAGCACTGCTTATCAAAGGTCAATGACTGAATAGCAATCAGGAACAAGCTTGTTACTTTTCACCTACAGGTCAATTGTGCCACCTCCACCACAACCCTGGTTTATAAATTAGCTAATTCAGCAGAGGATTGAACCTAGGACCAACCCCAAAGTATAGGTCTCAGCAGTAACCGTAGCTCTACCAACTGAGCCCTGGGGGCCTGGTCCAGATTTACTTCATGTGCTGAACAACAAGCCTGACGCACACAGTATTCTATTACCACACGAAGAGATTTACACCTTGTGCCTATGTCAGCATGATGCCAATTTCCTGCTGACAAAACAGGCCAACCCAGGGTATGAACCACTAACCTGGCCACAGAAAGATTCAGTTACAAGCTTGCAACTATTGGCTTTTGGTTGATGGTTAAGCAGTTATTGAAGCCAGCCAGAAACAAGCCTGTAAGTTGGCAGTCTGAGCCACGTTAGCCTAAAGAAATACTTTTTAAGCAGATCAAATAAGCCAAGTGTAAGAGGCTAACAAAATCACAAGTGGCTTGGATGACCCTTTTGGGTCCATTTGATCTCATCCTTCCAGAATACCCACACTATCATCTTTCCAATATATCACCACCTAGTTTCTAAAATGAATCTGCTGTCCTATCCTCAAATATCCTTCTTGCAAACCTAATCCAGTTCTTAACTAGTCTGTGTAAAGAATTACTTCCCAGTGTTTATTTTAAACCTTCCCTTTACAATTGTATATAGTAAAGAACTTGGAAGAAAATGTGAGTTTTTACAGCATGTTGAAACATTAATCACCATCATGTATAGTAACTTTTCCAAAGATGTCGTAAGCAAAAGTGGGAGTCCTTTTGCATAAAGACTCGCCAACAGCCACGAGGTGAATGACCATTTTATGATCGTCAGCGAATGTTATGAGGTCATTAACTTTCATCTGAAGAACAGGCAAATAGGACCTTGGTTTAAAGTCTAATCCAAAAATGGCCCTCTGACAATGCCATGGTCACCCAGGATTACACTTAAGTATCAGCTGAGACTCTGTATTCACCACAATGATATGAGGCATGGAATAAGGAAACTTGCCGAACAGTTTGCCCTGCCTGGGAATCAAACCCAGGTCTCTCGCTTGCGAGGCAAATGTTCTAACCAATGAGCTACAGGACTCCATGTTGATTTATGAGCACTGTATGGACTCTACTCCAGTACATGGATGTTTGCATGAGAGAGCAAAGTTTAGCACAGCATTCTTTTCCAGATATCTGCTCACTGTTCACCAAGTCTAGATAAAAAGAACTTTGGGGAGTCTAGGGAATTGGGGTTAGGGTCTTTAACACCAATGGATGAATAGACCAGCAACAACATTGGCTCCATGGACTAAATTACTTCCTTTTACATAGAATGATATGGCACTGAACCAGCTATTCGGCACAAGCAATCTGTGCCAGTTGTTTATATTCCACCCCTCCTATTTTCTCTATTCCTTTCTCTTTCATGTACGCATCAAGTTTCCACTTAAATATGTTGATACCTTTTGTTTCAACGACAGCTTCTGGCAGTGAGCTCCATTTTTGTGATATAAATGATATTATTTTATTAAATAAAAATTATTGTAAGTTTTTGTGGTAGAATGATCATTGCCCGTTGTACAGCCTGTTCCACTGGCAGGTTAGTGGCACCCAGTTTCATACACAATAGTTTTAAGGCCAGGACCATGTCACAATGGGCAGACTGGCACCACACCAGCTTGTCTTTGAAGATGATGCGGTGGAAAATGTATTTGTTTATTACTGACTATGAAAGAAATTCAGTGCCGAGGAGATCAAAGACAAGATGCCAGGTGGGATAAGACCTACATTTTTGTAAGCCTGTGGTAAAATAATGCATTTTACTATTATTTTTGTTGGCTGCACTCGATTCTTTGAACTTATTTTTGGCTGATAATTAAAGTGGGCTGGGTTCCATACTTACAGGACTGTAACCAAAAAGAAAAAGAATACAGTCAACCCTCATCCGACGAACGCTAGGATGCCATACTAAAACTTTGTTAGATACAAAGTTTGGTTCAACGTCAAACAAAATCAGTGAAACAGAAGTAGGATACTGGTGGGATAGTGGGGATCTATTCTACTGCAGCAATCCATGTATTCCTGCAGGGTGGGTGGGGAGTCTGAGCAGCAGATACAAACCGAGGACTCAAGGGGAAAGCGGCACAATGCCATGTGGCGCACAGGGACGGCTGACAGATTGGAATAGCTCAAGTACATCTTGTACAAAATTTAAAGGCAGAAGAAACAGTCAGCCAACACCTTCTCCCTCAGTGCGGTTGAATCACAAAACAGAGTAGCCAAACTTGCATCAAACCACAAACACACAACACTCAGGGGCAAAAAGGGTATTGATATCAAATGCAGAAGCTCCTGGATAGGGAGTGAATCCTCCCCAGTAACACATGGAAACTGAATGTTTGCATGAGAGAGCAAAGATTAATGAATTAAAAAGAACAAACCAGAGTAAATTAGTGTTGTGACAGCATCTCTCTCCACAGTGAGCAGTGTGATTGATGATCTAAAAACATGTGATCAGTAAAATCCTTTGGAGATAAAACTTCCCACTAAAGTAGCAAACTAATTTAAATTACGTTTCAAAGGATCCACAAATATGCAGGCACTTCCATCATTGATGGCCGCATAAAAACAACAGGGAAAGAGAGAGGAAGGATAGTGGAATGAGAGAGAACGGTCATTGAGGTTCGGGGGGTGGGGGTGTGATGGCATTTTAAATATCAGTATCATTCAATGTCATTACAATAAAACATGTTGAGAGGTGAACATGTTCATCAATTTTAGGATACAACGACTAATAACTTTACAATTTCATATAAAAGCACACTTTTCTGATTATAAGATGAAAGGTTACAGGTAACCGTGTTATCATATGGTAACAATTTTAATCAGATTACAACAATCAAGATGAATCCAACAGCAAGGAAAGAATATTTTGCCCTAGCCAAAAGTGTTGAAAAAAAACCCCATCAATTTTCTGAGCGAGAGAGTTAATGGGTAGGGGATGACCTAAAAGTGTTGAAACTGAAGATCAATTTTCTATGAAAAATATATAGCTCCCACCAGAACTTGCATCAGTTTCAGCTGGAATGCAATTCACAAGCCAGAATCACTTCCCATGTAATCCTTGCTTCATAGCTACTCTGAATGTGAATCAAACCAAATAAAGATTCCAGCACATTTCAACAACAATAACAAAATTACATGTGTATAGAGCCTTTCATGTTGGGAGGACATCCCAAGGCGCTGGACAGAGTGAGTTATGGACCTGAGCTGAGGGTCAGGATGGGTGGAGGGCAGGGGGGCAAGCAGGGAGATCAAAAGCACGGTCAAAGAGGAGGGTCTTGAGGTGGGTCTTGAAGGTGTTGAGGGAGGGGGCGAGACAGAGGGATGGAGTTCCAAAGGGTGGGTGCAGAGTGGCGGAAGACCCACCCCCCGATAGTGAGGCGAGCAAGGTGGGGGATGTGAAGTAGGGCTGGAGCCCGCTGAGCAGAGGGTGGTAGGGGGTTAGGAGGTCGGAGGGGTAGGGGGGACCAAGACCGTGGAGGTGAGGACCAGGAACTTGAAATGTATCCTCTGTGTGATGAGAAGCCAATGGAATTGGGCGAGGATGGGGGTGATAGGGTCATGGAGCCTGGTGCGGGAGAAGACACGGATGAGTTCTGGATGATCTGCAGCCTGTGGAGGGAGGAGTTGGACTTGCAGTTACATAGCGTGCTTCATGCAGTGTACTGCCCAGAGCACTTCACGTTCAGAGAAGCTAGAATGTATGAAGCTGATAAGTCAGGTTCACTCTGCTCACTGCCTTCTCTGCGCCACCCCACAAAGTTAATCACATTGCAAACAGGAAGAACCAGCCTCCTTGCATGCTGCGATCCCCTCACTCTTTGGTTGCATGACAAACAGTTGCAGGTGATGGGGGAAGGAAAGAGGGGATAGAATTTTAAGAAGCCTACGCTCACCAGCAACTGGGCTGAGAAGAAACGATTGTGAAGATAACAGCATAACAGGCTATTTTGGACCGGCATAAAGGTACATGCTGTCCCACTAGAGCCACCTGCTTCAATCCCATTAGTTGCTCTCCCCCGCCTCACCCCCATTGTGTCAGTGGAAACTGACTTCCTCAATGAGGCTATGTCCACCACTACAGCTTTCTATTTTAAACCTATCTTCGACTATTTCACATCTGTGATTCTGAAACAAGTGGAAACTAATCGAGAGGAAAAGACCGACAATGTCTGTTTGCATGCGGCAAGGAAGTGAAGCTGGATGGTTAGGCGAGGTGGCGGTGGGGTCAAGGAAGCACATGGTGGGATTTAAGCACATAAGGGTGTTAGACAGCTAGGTGGATTAGCCCTATTACCTGTTACAGGTAGCATGTGTGTGATCTGTTATCTGGAGATGTAAGTGTACGTCCTCGATGGAGAGCGGGTGTCATTCTGGTTGTTTGGCGGCACATTCAGGAAATCCCAGATGAGAATGGTGTCATCGTGGGAACTGCTGATGATTTGAAACTCGTCGAACTGCAGTCGGAATACCCGTCCAGAGTGTTCCTATAGACAAGTCAATACACCATTAATAACACACAATAACAGGAAGCCAATATGTGGAAACATTTCCACTCAATCACAGCTTATTACTCAGGGTATGTTGGATAAAATACACTCAAAAGTCAACCTCTCTCCCCAGACTGATTAAACAAAATCTCAAAAAATAATCATAAAGATTATAACGTTAACCATTATAGATTTTGATGTTTTGAATGTGGGAAAAGTGAGACAAACTCTCAACGTTAGCCATGACAAGTGGGTTCCAGAAGAGAGCGAAATCATATCGTCACTCCAATGGGTCCATTCTTATAACATCGCTATCTTCTTGGGCCCCATCACCATTGACTAAATGTCCTGTGAGGTTGTAGTATGTTCACCTTCAAATTATCACATTTCACAGAAACACTTGTGAAACACCTTACAGGTGCTATATTAAATGCCAGGGTTACTGTTATAAGCTGGATCATGCTTAGGTAGGGGGAGATTTGCGCACAGTCAGCATTTCCAACAGAACAAAATGCAGACTTATTCATTAGATGTTTTAGATGGCTCACATGGAATTTTATCCAGACATGTCCTCACAAAAGGATAGCTGAATTTATTCTAGGATTGCTTGGATGGATGTTACACACCTTCACTGACAGAAGAGTGCGGAATGAACACAGATAAAAATGCATGCAGTAGGACTTAAGACTGGAATAAAATACAGTGGCAAATTGAGCAACAAGACATTAACATTTCCATACAATTTTGTGCTGGTGAAATAAGATGTTGCTCAAACATTCTAATGTTGCTGTGCGCAAACTGGCTGCCGCAGTTCGCCTACAAAACTCATACTCAAACCACTTTACAGTGTATCCTGTGAAGTGCTCAGAAGCGCCTCAACGATGTGATAAGGCTCTATATCAAATACAGGGGTTATTATCATTGATTGGATTATGATACTCAAATGTAAAAATGGATTTTCAAAATTGAAATGGAGCATTATTGTACATTGAAAACCACTTGTTCCTGTGTCCTTTCACAGCTTTCTGCAATGCACACCTTGAGAGCCATCTGTGGTTTGGGATACATACCACCAAGGTGCGTAGACACAAAGTACTCGCAGGGGCACGTGGATCTAGAGCAGCTTGAAGATCCCAAACTTTGATTTTACTAGAGAGAAAACAGTGAAAAGGTCACCGCTTATTGTTGAGACAAAATAATATTTATTGAAATATTTATAGGTCAAAATAAATAAGCCTTCAGCGACTCGAATGTAAACTGAAAGTTGTCCAATTCATTGATAGGGAGACATACCCGTCGTAAGCTCCACTCACAATCCTCTTGTTGTCAAATCGAATGCATCGAACTAACTCCTCGTGTCCTTCCAACACTCTCAGACAGGCTCCACATTCTATGTCCCACAACCTGCAACAGGAACAAATATTAAAGGTTCAATAAATTAAATTCACTAATTTCAACTAGTTAGTGACACTTACTGATAGCATGATAATTTTCTTCCAGCTTTCCAGGATATTTGTGCAGTTGCACAATAATTTATTTTGAAAAACTCTGGTCATCAGATTGGACTCAGGCTTTATTACACAAACCCTGGGTTGTTCATTTGGAATTTTTCTACTTTCTTGTACAGTACCAAACATAACAATTATTTACCCGAGGAGTTTACGTGGCCTATCGCAGGGAGAGGGTGGAAAAGAGTCCAGTCATTTGTGTTAAAAGTTTACACAGCTAAAAATATCTGTCACACCACATGCATCAATGGCACAATTGTTGACTTTACTAATTGTGAGACAGTGTATGGGAAAATGCATTTTTTTTTGGTCAGCCGGATGTCTGACACGTACAGAAACTCATCACCATGGTTAAAAGAATCCAAACCAAACTGAGATTTGCACGCAACCCACCAAAAATGGAAATCCCAAAGATATATTGTTCGAATGGAATGCCCACTCTCTTTCTGGAGGGATGCATCCTGCTTACTTAATTCTGGGAAGCAGGATGCGTCCAGGAAAGGAGAAAGCAATAAGACTACTGATAAGGAAACAAACACCACTGTAACTGTTTTAAACCCTGGGATAAATCCGATGCCACTCTACCTTATGGTGTTGTCTGACGAGCCACTGACAACCAATCGATCCCGATACTGTAGACACGCTATTCCACGTTTGTGGCCATTCAATGTGCGCACAAACTCACATGTACTTGTGCTCCACACCTGCAGGGATTAATGCAAAGAAAAGTTAGGTCTGGAAAGGAACAAGGAAAGGCCATGTCAAATGTTGTGGTTCAAACTGCATCACATACACAGCTGCTCATTTTAAATTCTCCAAAGAAGCACTCAAATGAACTATGACAAAGTGGAATTACGTGGTACAATTTGGAGGATGTCTGAACAGGTATCTAGGAACGTTCTCATAAACATCAGCAGGCGGCGTCACCTTCTCTACACTCAGGCTCTGAATATTCAGACTCAGACCTTGAAGGAGGCGAGTTGAGCAAATTTAACACTGGCAAATTTTAAGCCCTACAATAATCACGTACTTGCATTTATATCACGTCCTTCATGTAGAGTAATGCCGAGGACTTTATATATTTTACATCGTAAATATCTCTGGAATTTCCATTTGTAGGTGGGATTCTGGAGTTTGGTTTCGATACTCTTAAGCATGGTGATGGGTTTCCGATTGTGTCAGACACGACCACAAAATACTGACATGCAGATTTCAGGATGTGGGCTGCGGAGTTTTGGATGAGACTGAGCTTATGGACGGAGTAACTGGGGAGACTCGAGAGGAGGGCATTTGAAAAGTTTAGCCTGGAGGTGACGAAGGAACGAATAAGGGTTTTGACAGGAAAGGGTGACATAGGAATGGAGGCGGGTGATGCAGCAAAGATCAAAGCCTGGATGTGAGGGAAGAAAGATGTTAGAACTGAACCTCAAGGTTCAGTGAGTTGCAGAGAGGACAGGAAGGTTGAGAAAATGAAAGGTGGGACCAAATCAACGCGTTCATCCAAAATGAGGTCACGGATGGTAAGAGCTTGTTGAAGAAGGATTGGGCATTTTATAGGGTGATGTGCACACAGCTGACAATAGGGAAACTCCAGTGCAAGATGTTGTGGTGATAGCAATCGGACTGAGGGACACGCGATTCAGCCCTAAAAAGTGGGAAGGGCAGAACAAGTGATGGGATGGGAATAGGACAGCCACAGTGTGTCCAGCATAGGATTTGGGCCTTGTGAGTGCTTTTTTAAAAAAAAACTTAATATTAATTTCAGCTTGTTTATTTGCTTGGGAGGGGGAGCACTGAAATCTGCCCTCTCCTTGTTAAAAAAATAACTTTTACCAATTGCTCAGAGGACCTGGGTCTAGGTCCATCAGATTTATTTTAAAAGCCAAATGTGGTTCTTATTCATGTGGATAAGTTTTATTTGAGCACATTACAAAAACTCAAGTGACAGAATGCTAAAGCACAGAAACAGGCTATTAGGCTAAACAGCATTTATACTGCATGACCCAATCTCCACTCCTTTAGCCCTTAGGCATCAAGTTTCTTCTTAAATTTAATTTAATAAAATTTCTTCTTCGACCCTTGACTGCCCAGCGCCTTGGTTCGTCCTCCAAATCTGAAAGGCTCTGCATAAATGCAATTCGTTGTTTAAATACGTTAATTACTTCTGCTTCAATCTCATCTTCTGACAGTGAGTCCTATATTCTTACCACCCTTTACATAAAGAAGTTCTACTGAATCTCACCTTTAAGATCTATTGGCTATCTTATATGTATATCAAATGCAAGGATTATTATTATTATTATTCCCCACCCACCCATCTGTCTTAGATTCATCAATAACAAATCAAAGGCTGATGTGAAGCAACAAGGAATAAAACCAAACTCACCTTGATTGTTCGGTCACCTGATGCTGACACAATGTACTTGTCATCAAAGTCCACCACATTAACCGCAGCCCGATGACCAACCAACACCCGTCGCAGAGTGATGTCCGTTGGCGAAGCCATATCCCACACTGCTATAGATCGGTCCTTCGAACACGTGACCATTAGTCCATTGCAGAAGCGAAGGTGCAATACTGCCTCATTGTGGTGAATTAATGTATTCAGAACATCTCCTGTATTTACATCCCAAACCCTAAGCAATAAATAGAAAGAATTATTAAATGCTTCTTACAATTAATCAGATAAAAACAATTCCCAACCTTTACAACAGAATAACAACAGCAGAAGCCTGGCGAAGTGCATTAATATTAGGCAAATTTGATTCTGGCCTTACCTTGGAATTAAGTAGTTTCTCATCACAATTCACAAGAGTGTGTACCTACAGCAGTGCTATGAGGATAATTACCCCTTAGCCTGACATCTACAAATTATTGAGGGCAAAGCCTCCATGAAAGTTCTGCAAATCCAAGTGAAGATGTGAATTGTGTCGGAACACACCACCAAATCAGTTATCCTTTTTTGCTCCTATTGTGTACAAGACACCAACAAAAAAAAGTCTCTTTAAACAGGCTGCTGATTTTCATTGATTCCTTACCTTACTGTTGAATCCGAAGATCCAGTAACAATAACTCTCTCATCATACTGCAGGCACAGCACCGAACCTGTGTGACCCGTAAGAACTGTCAAACATTCCAGTGTCTGTTTGTCCCAAATCTGTAGAAACCAATCAAGTCCAAATAAATACTACTGCTAAAAAAAAACTGTCTATGTGAAAAATGTTGTGTAAAGCCATAGAACTCAATCTACAACCCAAAATGAGAGAAATCAAATTTTTACTTTATTTATCCCTTTGAAACACTTCAAAAATTACTGTCAAGTCAAATGGCTGTAGGTACTGTAGCAGCTAGCTTATGCACAGCAAGGTCTCACAAGCAGCATTGAGCAATTTAATCTGCATTACTGTCAGCCAGGACCCAGGGAGAAAATTCCTCCTCAAAGGTGACCTTAGCACGATCGAAGAGGAAGGTCTTCAGGCCCAACCTGAAAATGGGGAAAGAGATGTCAAGGTGAAGAGACTGAGGGAGAGAGTTCCATAGCTTCGGGGTATAGTGGCTGAAGGCACAGATGCTGATGGTGGAGTGGAGGATTTGAAGGGAAAGGAGGAGGCCGGGGCCAGTATAGCTGAGGCAGCGGGTACTGCTGTGAAGAGAGATGAGGTTGGAGAGATAGGGGGGTGCCAAGGCGTGGAGGGATTTAAACACTAGAGGGAGGATCTTGAAGTTGATCCGCTCTGTGACAGGGAGCCACTGGAGTTTGGCAAGGACTGGGGTAATCGGGGTGCGGAGTTTAGTGCGGGTGAGAATGCGGGCGGCGGAGTTTTGGATGAGTTGAATTTTGTGAATAGTGGAAGAGGGGAGATCGGCGAGGTGGGTGCTTGGGTAGTCAGCCGAGAGGTGACAAAGGCGTGGACAAGGGTTTCGGCAGCTTGTGGAGTGAGATATTGTCGGAGACGGGCAATGTGGTGGAGGTGCAGGAAAGCGGTCCTGGCCAGGGACCGGATGTGGAGAAAGAAGGACAACTGGGGATTGAACCTGACGCCTAAGTTGCGCACGGGTTCAGAGAGTTTTAAGGACAGATCGGGTAGATTGAGGAGGTCAGAACTGCAGGACAGAAGATGTCAACGGGAGCCAAAGTAGATGGCTTCATCATCAGTCCTAACTGTTGATCCTTATAGGTAGGTACCTGAGGTTGTGGTGGAAAATAACTTTAGCCTGGACACTTTCCTGAAGGATAGTGCAGAGGCAGCAAAGTCCCAGTGCAGGTCAAGCTTGTGGCATACAAGACCTGTGTACAAACAGTATTCCTTTATGGCTCCAGCAGAGAGGCTTCCTCCAGATCATTTGGAAAGTCCAGGATCAAGCAGTGAGTTGGATTTGTGGTAAACACGGGAATCGGCTGCAGGTAATGAGGGCTCCGACCTACACTGGCCTGTCATCAAGCACCCTGCAGGGAAAGGTGGCTTCACAGCAGGCACGTCTATTTGCCAAGACCTTCCACACGAGGACCTGGATTAAGCAGCTGGTGCTGAGTAAACCTGGCAGTGGTATTGGACTTGTACCTTGAGAACATCAAGGTGGCTGGCACATTGCATGGCAGATGTCCGTCAGATAGCTGATGAGGAAACTAAGGCTTTGGCGACGGCTGCTGGAAAGTGTTACCTGGAGTCCAAGTTTGTGATCACATATTTGTACATCCAGTGCCTGGAATCCACTTTGATTGGCCTATAGAGAGGTGAGCACCTGTGGCTTAACCTCCGCACTGCAAACTGGTGGAATCATTGCTCAACGGGAAGGGATGTGTGTCCGAGCTGTGAACGGTAAGACGGTGACAGTGGTCTCACGCGTTTCATGCTAAGCTGTGTTGCCAACCAGGACGCTCGCAGGGAGTTCCTGGTACCTAACGTCCACCTAGTGAGAGTTTGATGGATCTCAAATGACTAACTAGGGACCGGGGGGCGGCGGGTGGGTGGAGAGAAGAGGGGGAGACGTTAAGTAAGGTCTCCTTAGAGCTGAAGTGTCTGCATGGTGACATGCCTGGCAATGGAATGTCACAATCGAGCCCACTATCTGTGGCGATCTTGGTAGCAGTTACTGAGCCAGGCAGGTCTGAGGTACTCCAGAGAAATGCTGATGACAGCAGCCAGGCTCATTGGCAGGACTTGGGAGGGGGCAGACTAGTCACTGGGAGCAGAGATTCTTCCCACTCAGCTCCCATTAGCCCTTCAAGCCAAACTCCTAATACTAGGGTAGAGTGGTTCTACCTGGATAAGCAGTGGAAAGCTTACCAGGCAGTGCTCTCAATGGCAAGCTATGCAGTTTCGGATAGTTAGACTCCAGCCGTACTCCAACGCACACTAGGGTCTCCAAGCCTTGGCTCTTGCCAATCTGCACCTAATACTTTCTGGAATTAGGTAAACATGATGCGTCTGTCAAGGGAGAGAGTGCATATTCCATTCCAATAAACTTCTGTGGAATTTCCATGTATAAGTGGGATGCATGGAACTCTGTTCGGTTTGGATACTCTCAAGCATGGTGATGGGTGTTCCAGTGCAAGGGTGAGCTTTTGATATAATTGGCCAAATGGCCTCCTTCCATGCTATAACTGTTCTGAGAATTAAGATTAAAAATAGCCTCCAGTAGTTAATATAGTATTGAGTGAAGCTGGCTATTACTATGCTAATGCACATACATGTGCGAATCAATACAATTGACATTGGTAGAGGCTCTCTTACAGTACATTGGAACACAAGCGAAGGTGAAGCATCAATGAAACACTGGCTGCAGTTTTTTTTTAAAAAGCATCCATTGTATTTTGAGCTGCTAGGGTGCCTGTTGAGTGAAATGGTTAACATCATCGGCAACTCTCGTTACTCACTTTGATTGAGTTATCTCGAAGACCACTGATTATTTTGTCATCATCATACTGCAGGCAGTAAACCCCTTTGCTGTTTTCTGACCGACACTGGATTCTCTGGAGATTGTGTCGCCCACACCTCCAATTAGATTCTATAGTCTGCAAAACAAAACCAGGAGTAATATTCAGAACATTTATAAGACTTTCATAGACTGCATCCTGCTTTACAAACACAATAGATCATCAACAGAGGTAAACCATTTTCCTCACTGCTACACCATTCATCAGCATATCAAAGCCCTAGCAGAAGGCAGGTGAGGTGTAGGGGTACAAGTCAGAGTTGAATAGAGAAGACAAGCAAATGAATGAGAACACATTCTTGATCTTGTTTCAGTTAATACCTATGTAACATCACTGAGGATTTGGTGAGAGAAAACTGCTTGTAAGTAGCAGCGTTTCAGCCCCTTGGGATGTTCTCTCGATGTAAAAGGCACTATACAAATGTAATTTTGTTGTTGTATAAGGAAAGCTGCATCCAGACCAAGCTGGATCAATTAAAAGGCAATTAGAGGGTAGATTAGTCACTCGGTCATGTGATGTGTAACACAAGGCAACGTAAAAGAGTTGGAAATACANTTTTTTAAATAAAGTATAATAATTGACCCTCCTTTCAAATTTCTCCACCTATTTATTTCCTGCTTGGCTAGATAATAATAATAATCCTTGCATTTGATACAGCGCTTTTCACGTCTACTAGTCGTCTCAAAGCGCTTCACAGAATATACTGTAAAGTGAATTGACTGTATATTTGTGGGAGAAACGCGGCAGCCAATTGCGCACAGCAGTGTCCCACAAACAGTCGTGGATTGAAATGAACAATTTTATTATTGTTTTTTTTCTTGAGGGATTATTATCAGGCGTGTGGAGTAAGGAAACTTGCCCAAAGTTTCACCCTGCTGGGAATCAAACCTGGGTCTCTCGCTTGTGAGGCAAGTGCTCTAACCACTGAGCTACAGGACTCCTGCAACCCCCAACGCCCTCATTTCACCAAGTTACTTCTCTCTTCTCTTGAATGTTTTTTTCAAAAAACAACTTCTACTTCTACTGGGGTAAGGCTTCATGAATTCATGAATTTAACTGGTACCTCATCAGTCGCCATTATTCATGTGTTAGCCTTAACAGTAAGGCTGTTTGTAGGCTTACTGGTGTGGTTCATCACAGCTGAAAGTAGTCCTGTCCCAACCCACCACCGACTTGCAGGGTCCATGGATAGTCAATAGGAGCAGGAACTCAAGCTGTTTCTCCCCTCCTTTCCAAATCTTGAAGAATTTAAGCCAAATATTATTATTATTAATAATAATTTTTTATTATTATTATTTTGTAAATCAGTTGAGATGAGATGAGTCAGCAGAGGCTGGAATTTGAATATGTAACTATCCATTCAATTTGTTTCAGTGAAGCAGAATATATTAGAAAATGTGTTACAGATATGTTAATTGTCAAATTTCACTGTCCAAACTTTGAATGTGTAGTTTGTGAAAACAGATTTGGTGTTGTCAGGTCTGAGGCAAGAGGTTAACTCTTGCAGTCTACATCAGTCAGAAGCCTGAAGTCAGAACACTTTACAGTAAATCATGTGAAGTGCTTTGAGAAATCTTGACAAAGTGATAAGGTGCTATATTAAATGCAAGGATTATTATAACAAACTCCATAGTTAGGCACTATACCCAATGCCACTCCATGACCAATAAATGGGTGGAGCTGTCACAATGGGTGATAACAGAGGATAGAAGGGACCTTATACAATTAATATGCAGGCTAGTCAAAATGTGGCTCAGCGGCCAGCAACCAGATGCTATCATGCAGCTGGGCTCTTCCAGCCACTCGCAGTTAGCCCACAACCATCATGCATTTCTCCGGCAAACATTTGTGGGTGAGAGAAGAGGGAATAAAAATGCAGTTTCAGTTAAATATGTTACAAGCCCCTCATGATGTACACTTCCCCTCAGGTGAACTAATCAGTTAATTAAAATTGCACTGAGAAAATCCATCTGCTGCATTTTCCAGTCTTCAGTGTGCAGGTCAAGCCCTCTGTACACTGAATTTCCTGTGCACCTTGCAAAACTCGGATGTGTCTTTATTTAATTCTGTATGTATATACTGTCTTGGAAAAAGGAAAACTAGTGGGATTACTGAGGGACAAGATTGAAGATCAAAATCTGGCAAAGATCCAACCGGTTCCTCATTTGTCAAATAGCAGGATGCTTGTAAGTATGTTCCGGCTACTCAATCACACAATGAAGATTGACAAGTTATAATCCGGAATGACTCATTTTACCTGGGGGATTGTAGGCCAGGACATCAGGAAAATCTCCCTTCTCTTTTTAAATAGCTGGTCACGGGATCTTTAATGTCCAGTTAGGATCTTAGTTTAACATCTCATCCAAAAGACACCATTTCTAATAATGCAGCCCTGCCCTACCGTTAAGACTGGAACATCAGCCTAGACGGGTAGCAATACAGCTACACAAAAGGAATAACAGCTAGTAGTTCAATATTTCTTTGAAAACTGGAAACTCAATTCGGAGAGTGAAATATCAGTGCACTAAGTGTTTTGATTGCTCATTTATGAATGATGATGCATGATTAGCTAAATTCAGTTGAGAATGTCAGCCTGGAGCAGTGGTACCAGTCTCGCTTCTGGCTCAAGTTTGAGTTCAAGCCCCACGTCAAGACTTGGAATCAGTCTAAGCTGACACTCCATTGCAGTGCTGAGGGAGGGGGTGGGGGTGGCGGCAGAATCTCCATCAAGCATTGTCGGAGGTGCTGTCCTTCAGATGTGATGTAAACAGATGTCCCATCTACCTGTTCAGGTGGATGTTAAAGACACTATTTGAAAAGAGAAGGGAATTTCAGTGACCTGACCAATAAATTCTCTAAATAAAATTGGTCACTCACTCCATGGCTGTTTGTGGGGCATTGTTGCGCATAATTGGTGGCTGCATTTCACCCGCATAATACTGTCAATTCATTTTACAGTATATACTGCAAAGCGCTTTGAGGTGGCTCAATGACATGATAAGGGGCTATATCAAAGGCAAGGATTATTATTATAAATTCATTCATTAAATTCATTTTTTGTGTGAAAATCATTTTACATTATATCCGAGAAAGCATGAATGGAATCAGTACTAAACTCCTCATCAAAAATCGCAAATATGCTATGAGAAAAGCTAGCTCAAAAGTTACCTTATGGTTTTAAATACATTTCATTTAAGTAAATTAGATTCTAACCTTTCAAAGAGTATTGCTCTACAATAACCTAATTGTAATGGGAGCATATCAGCAACGATTAGGCAACTGTGCGCACATTTGTGTTGACGATGTGATTTGGTTTTGATTTGGAAAATCTCACAAGATCGGTTCGGATGAAGAATGCCCTTAAAAGCCTATCCAATCTCATCCTTCCAGAACATCCACCCCGGGGATAACTGAGGGTGGAACCTGACATCAAGGTTCAGTTCAGGTTTGGTGAGTCTTAGAGATAGGCAAGGAAGGTTAAGGAGTTCAGAACTGCAAAAATGTCAAAATACATTTTCATATGTTTTTACAAATATAAATATATATTATTTGCAATATAATCACAATATATAAAATCAGGACAATGCCAGGTACACCTGAAGCTTTAACCTTTAGTTTGGAATTAAGGCGCAGGATTAATCTGCTGAGGCTACAGATCTAGAGAAACAATAGAAGAGGGCAATTCACTGTCCAATTCCACAGACACTAGTATTATTTAAATGCCTTGGCGCAGCCCAAAGAGACACATGGGGAATGCATACAAAATCTTCCAATTCCTTTCTGACATTATTTAAATGTTCCAACCATTGTGCAATTCTTACATCAATGCAGCAAGTTTGTTTTTAAAATCACCAGAAAAGGTTTGATGAACGGGTAGAGAGATTTCAGAATGGATCACTGATTTACCAGTGAATAGCAGCAACACAGGTGCACATTTTAATCTTGTGACTCACTGTCGTCTTTGAGCACTTTGGGAAATTTTGTGAAGTTTTTGAGAAGCTGAAAATTGCAGCTGAACTGTAAATGAACAAGGCGCTGGTAATCTCTCCACAAAGGAAAACTTTTTTTTAAAAAAAAGACAGAATTTAGATTGGCAAAGGAGTGAACACAGATGTCAGAACAAAGAAATAACATTAGTTTAGGATGAAGAAATCGATGCTGGGTGGGCAGGTTAGGAGGGAAGAATCTTAACACTCAAACGCAGACATTTCAAAATCCCTTTCATCCTAACTTCAGTCCACCCAGGAGTACTAAATCCATACGTGCCCCAATTAGGGTCAGATGGTTGCGAGTTCAAGGACTTGAGCCGAGTCTGGACTGACATTCCAATGCAACAATGGGGGATAGTCTCATTGTCTTGTGCGCGAGGCATTAACCTGAAGTCTGGGTCGGTCCAGGTGAAAAGAGAAAGGAGTTTCTCTCAGTATTCTGACCAACAATCCTCCAGATACATTAGCCATTTACTTCATTAGTCGTTTGTGGCTGCTGTAAATGTCTACCAGATGTACGTACAAAGAGTGTCACTATAATTATTAAATCTTTAATATTCTGATTTCATCATCTTCCAAGTAAAGAGGCAAGGAGAGTCTGAAACACATTTTATATAATCACTGAGAGTGTGTCTCTTTTACACAATTTTAAACATTAATCACATTTTTCAATGGATTCAGAAATTCTCAGATAAATGTTAAAATGAAAAAGACTGCTTTGCATGATTGGAGTGACAAACACAAGGCTGAATAAAACTCCAGTGACAAGATTGGGCGATCGATCAAGATGATCCCCAATCCAGTCAGTAAAATGGTGATAATTTTACTTGTAGTATGAAGTTGACTCTAGGGAGGATCCATCATAGCAAAGAAAAAATTCTATCAAAGGCAAAGTTTTGGAAACCCGGGGGATGGGACTTCCTTGCTTCTGTGGCGACATGAAACTGGTATAAAAGGCAAAGTACTGAAACTGGTACAAATGGCAGCAGAAAGTGAGGGACAGTAGAACTCACTCAACCAGCATTGTGTGAAGAAGCACTGGTATTAACTCTGGGCGGGATCCGACAAAAAGAAAAACTGATCCCACTATTCTTCCCAGAGGAAAGCCTACTTCAGCAGGAAAGCCAAAACAATCAAACCAATATTCTCTGTGATCAGTCAAGTGACATTGGGAGAATGGCATGTAGCATGTTCCCTTCTTCCCCTGCCCAAAAACACACACACAGGGGGTGCAGTAAAGTGAGCTATAGGAATGGAGGGGGTGGAATTGAGAGAATAATCTAAGTTTGTATCCGACTGGATGGTTCACAGCATAAGAACAATTGTTTTATATACAGGAAGAGATTATTATGGCAAAAAAAAACAATGTTTCAGTTACAAAAATACCTTCAGCTACACACAAAGTGATCTTGGAGAAATGGGAAATTTCTGTTAAAACGTATAGAACGTGGAAAGGTTCCTGTGAAAGTTTTGGTTTCTTGACAGAATAAGGAGTATATTTTACTCCTTTGCTCCTGATAATGCTATCCTTGCAAACACAGACACACCCTTACTTCAGTTTTCAAAACACTGAAAGCAGCTGGAAAAATTGTACAACTTGCCTTTGAAAAGAAAAACACCAGCCTTTACGTAATACATTTTTTTTGTAGCGGAGGAATGTCTCCCCTGTAGCCAAAAAGACCTCAGTTAACATTTCTGAACCACATCAAACCTTTATGGTTTATCCACATCATAAAAGATGTATTCTTTAGAAGGTACGTCTCTCTGGATCAAATGTGTCAGCTTGTACCTAAACTTTAAGGGAAGCCAACTTAACTTTGACAGGACAATAAATTTCAGATTCCCCTTCAGAGAACGGCTGGGTTATTTTAAGTGAAAAGGGGCGAGATCAGGAAAATGACAAATGGCGATGGAGACTTTTCAAGTGATGAAGACTATTTGTTTTATTTTGAAGGCACAATCCTGGAACTAACGCAGCCATTTGAATTTTGAATGATTCAGGACACTCAGGAGGATGTCTATACTGTCTTGCTAACTGGTCTCTCTGGGCAATATCCAAATAATGTTAATGTGCTTTTAATCTTGGAAATGTCCTTTGGAAATGCATATTACTGGCCCAGGTGTGCAAAGCAATATTTAAACAAGACAAGACAGTAGAATAGCAGAGTGTATTTACTGAACTCACCCACCATCATTGTCAGGATGCCAAGCTGAGGCTAAGCAGTCTCTACAGAGAGTACTAGCAAGAAAAAAAAGGCAGAGCGGGCCACTCACACAAGCTTGCAGCCGGTAAGCTCATGTGTGGCAAGGACCAGGCTCTCTCTGCTAAAGCATCGTGAAGCAACAGAGGAGGAAGGAATATAGGGGAGATTTAGGCCATTCGTCTTCAAAGTTCAAAATATCCAGAGATTTAAGACAAGTACTATGACATTAATTGCTGACCATTTGTTACATTCGATCACTGGCTGTTAACTAAGCAACTGAGAGATTTACATTCAACATGTTCATGGGTGTGTGTGTGCGTGGGGGGGGGGGAAGCATAAATGCACTGACAGAGTAAGCATTAAATAGGTCCAGCTGACCACTTGAACTGTGGACAGCTAAACTAACGTGAGAGCAGTACTCCAAGCTGCAGACTAAAGCAGTCAGTTGAAAAGATATCAGATGAACAACTGAGTCAAACCAGCCTGTCCACTTCACACTGAAGTGACTTATCAATGGTATATTTACAGACTTGTATTCAATTACTCCTTCTCCCCTGAATGTTACTTTTAGCAGAAAAAAAATGAAAATAACTGCGGGCCGCACACGGACTTGACTGAAGCAATTAAAAAGCAGACAGTCATTCACTGCCATATGGGTAAGTAAACCAAAACTAAATAAACAGAATATTGGGCATGTATTTTCAAACATGTTGGGTAAAGCTGAATTACATCAGTTCCTTTTTCTCGGGCTCAGGTGTTTTTTAAGCAAGGTCTAAGGCTGCTGTGTTTTATTACATTTAGAAAACAAATTCAATATTACATTGCGATATATATATTTTAACTTCACAATCAATAATACTCCTTTATAATAAAAAGCTAATGTTAACTTTTGTACAATATGGATAACGTCGTTGGGCCAAAACATACCAAATTTCAAGAGCAATGAGGGGTCTACTGTTCACTTGCTTTAATTAAGATTTCTTTTTGCTGTTGACAACTGATCCAAAATGAGTGCCTGTTGTGATAGCACAAGCAGTCACTAAGTTCTCTCTCTTCACAGAACACTTATTTTTTAACTCACCAGTGAAATTAGGCTATTGGTTTATGTACCTATACAGCAGTGAACATCTGGCTACTTTTAATTGCATCAATCAGTCCATATGCTTAGACAATGATTGCGATGGAGTGGGAATCAAGATGTGAACAGGAAGCTAAAGCTTCAGCAGAATGATCAAGGAATAAGGAATTTAAAATACTAATAAATTTCAGTAAAATTCTATAAAAATCACGTCTCATCCTTAACTGAACTCAAGTTAAACCTTACCTCTATATCCTGAATAATCTTTGGGTACAATCCTCTATGAAATGAATTTGGTGGGCCATCAGCAGGTCTGTTTTTAAACAAGTACTGCTCCCTGGGAGGAAGGACACAGATAAATCGATATCAACAATGATAAAAATCACTAGGAATATTAAGTTGAGCTCATAACCAAGTTTTCCCTTTCTCCCAAACACTGGTATTAAAAGGTTTGAGTTCTGCATTGAACAGAAACTGCAAGTAATCATGGTGCTCGCATCGACAGAAGTGAAATCCTCCGTTTTCCTGCCGCAAGTCTGCCTGGTCACCTTTTCAAGGGCATCTTCTTCAGAATTGTCAGTGCAAGTAATTTGTTTGGTTTAGCGGGATGCCTGACATGTGAGGAAACCCATCATTGTGCATAAGAGCATTCAAGCCAAACAGACCTTGCACCCCACCTACACATGGAAATTCCTGTGTGTTAGAATTGAATGCACATTCTCTTCCTGGAGGGAAGCATCTTGGGTCACCCAATTTCAGAAATATTAGGCGTAGGTGGGCAAGAACAGAGGCTTGGGGGCCCCAGAGTATGCCTGAGTTACTGCTGGAGTTTAAACAGCTAAAACCGGTACAGTTTGCCCACTGAGAGCACTGTCTGGCAAACCTTCCTGCTGCTTTACCAGCTAGGACCTCCCTACCCATTAGGGTTTTGGCTTGCAGGATTAACTGGAGCTGTTAAACTGTAGAGTCCTGTAACTCAGTGGCTAGAGCACTCGCCTCACGAGCGACCTGGGTTCGATTCCCAGCAGGGCGAAACCTTGGGCAACTTTCCTTAATCCACACGCCTGATAATAATCCCTCAAGAAAAAAAGGAATAAATTGGTGAACTTCAATCCACGACCGTTTGTGGGACAATTGGCTGTTGCATTTCGTCCACAAGTATATTGTCAATTTACTTTACACTATACTCTGCGAAGTGCTTTGAGACATCTTGAAGATGTGAAAATCGCTATATCAAATCCAAGGATTATTTTATATTTTTAGGAGCTGATGGGATGAATCCTTTCCTCTAGTAATTGGTCTGCACTCTGAGTCCTACCAATGAGCCAGGCTGTCTGTGCTGCCATCAGCAGTGCTATGGACTCTTAATTTGACAAAAGTTTTGGTCCAAACGCAAGTCAAGCAGAATTTTTTAGTGGAAAGCCTGGTTGGCTGATCCCATTCTGAACCCAGGGGAGCAAAGGCTGATTTGTACTGTCGCTTTGGCTAAAATGAACATGGCAGATAATGAACTAACTTTATAGCCTTTTGCACTGTGCAGCTTAGTGCAAGCATTTTAAAACATTTTTATGTGAAAGGCCATTAAGGGAGCAGAGCAGGTTATTTGATGGAAATGTAAAACAACTCATCTTAGTGAAGAAAACTCACCACCCTCGTCTTTCTGCAAGTCCCTTCCAAAGTGGATCTGTGCGCACCATCCTCTCAATCAGCTTCTTCCATAGCATTCCCTCACCAATTACCCGTTGCCATTCTTTACACACCACCTCTGCAGCACACAGTGATTTGGCATCGAGGTACGACAGTATATTCTCTGCTATGTGGTCCAATCCTTGTGCTGTAAATAGAAAAAAAATCAAGGAAACATTTATAAATGCACACCTAACAACCTAGACACAGACAGAATAACTCCTTTTTACTGTTGCTATTCTGTGCATTCATTTGCCGTCCAAAAAACACAACCTCACCAAGGAGGAAGAAAGACAACACATCCATGATATTTTCATTGTGTTAGGATTGAAACTGCAACAAGTTTTCGAGATACAAATGAAAATGTGCACTTAGCTCATCAGGAAGGCACGCACCAACCTCATCTTTTTCTACAACAGCCCAAGCAACCATTCCTCATGTGTGAGCCTCAGGAGTAGAGGTCTCTCAGCAGGATAGTCACCAAGGCTGAATGGACCCTATCCTCACCCAAAGCAAATTTAAGAGAAAAATAATTTTTAAAAAATGAGAAAAATAATTAAGGGGGTGGGGAAGAGTTTTAAAAAAAGTCCCAACGGAAGGTAGTTGGAACACCGAATCCCTGCCACAAACTGAAACATCAAAGGGAATTAGATGGATGTGTGCTTAAAACAAAATTATGAAGATCAAGCAGGAGTTTAACCAAGCAGTAAATTAGACCAGGTGGTTGTCGTGGTGAAAAATACCAGTGCAGAATTGATTAATAATATTCCTTAAATTTGATGCAGCACCGTTCAGATCAGTTTCTCTTGGTGTCCTGGCCAACATCCCCCAGATAAAATTGGTCATTCATTTCATGGCTATTAATTGGAATATTGCTATGCACAAATTGCCAGCCTAATTGACCTATAATAGTCACTACATCTTACAATAAATTCTGTGAAACATTTTGAGATATCCTCCCAATTTTTGAAAAGCACTATAGCAAATGTAATTATTATTATTATTATGCGGTTAATGACCAACTCATTTGCTGGATTATTGACTAGGACACCAGGAGAACATATTTTCTCTTTTTGAATGCAGTCATGGGATCTTTAATGGCTGCCTGAACAGACTGGACCTTAGTTCAACATCTCATCCAAAACACAGGACTTGTAACAAGCCAGTGCTTCCCAACACTACAATGGATTATGAACCTAGCCTGTACGTTTCCCGACATGGGGTTTGAACCCACAAGCTTCTGAGAAGCGCTTGTACAATGTGTGAGTCAGATGTGGGGTGAATACAGGATACATGGTAATCTGTACATTTGACTGGAAGTAAATACAAGCAGTGAATATTATTTAAAAATTAACATTTGATTTGAAATCCAGTCTCGATTGCATCCTTTGGCCCCCTCCTATTAACACTCCTTTTAACGAGACACAATTCCATGCAATCCATATATGTGTGAGTCCCAAAGACATTTCAAACTCCATCACTCTTCACTACTACTTGGACGAGAAAATATTCTGCTGATTCTAACAGTCCATCTACCAAAAAGGGAGAAAGAGCTCCCACAGAGATTATCTTCATGTTCATACCACCAGTAATAGAGTAAGAATAGGGAGAAATAGAGAGAAAGAAACAAAGAGAGACAAAGAGAGAGAGAGAAAAAGCCAAAGAGAGAGAAAAAACAAATCAATGACTACAGCAGTGAATGGGGATCGATAGCTTTTTCAGCAGCTGTTAAATTGTGAGGAAATGGTGCTGAAGCCAAAGGTCTTAATGTCCCTCTGCAGCTGGTAGGTAACGTCTAGGTGTTTAGCTTGAATTCAATGCTAGATATCTTTAATCAGCTTTATTTTCAACCATTTTAAACAGCAATTTATTGCAAAAATTTTCTTTTTAAAAGCACACTGCTCAAATTACATCCGTTTGAGAATAAGTCCTCTTAAATCCAGACAACAGTTGTAAGAGTATCGTGGAGGAGTTAAACGTCAGAATAAGGCTAAACTTCCACAATCGCAGCAGAATTAGAACTTATTTTTATTGCATTTCTATGAAATTCAAGACAGCATTAAAACCTTGAGCAATTATGAGATTGTGGAGTTGCACGCGAATGTGGAAGCTGTAGTGAAATTTTCAAATTAGTATATTGTATGTTGCAATTTGCAAACTTGGGTTTTTAAGATTGAGAAACCGAGGTCAGTAAAGAGTCACATACACTAAATCTCAGACCCACAAGTCACTCTGACCCTTCAGGTTTCACATTCTCCATGTTTAGACTTCAAATGGGCAGCTGGCGTGCTCAAGACATGAATGGTCATTTTTTTTAGCAAAAGTGGAGCTAAAACACTATTTTAATAGTTTCCCCCCCTATTTCTGCCATGGGGTTTGCTATTCAGAGTAATTTCAACATTCTTAAAACGAAGACTACTCTTGGAAGTGTGCTGGTATTGTTAAATAATAAAACTATTATTTTCCGCACACCCTTTGCTTTACTCAAAACACCCCAAATGACAAAAAACTCGTATAATCTCTGGATTGGCTCCAACTAGACTCAACCTGGTAAATTCATTATTAAAGGAGCAGCGCATAGACATAGAATATTTATTAGGTCAGGGTATCGAGTTGAGGTAAAGATTAGCCATGATCTTATAGAATGGCGAAATAGGCTTGAGGGGCTGAATGGCCTACTCCTGTTTCTATGTTTCAGCTGAATATTGCTGGGTTCAACAGTCTTAATCATAGATTACAAGATGGCATAAAATATACTGACGGTGGGAGTGTCATAGTCTTCAGTTATCTGATTCAAAGGTCTTGTGAGGTTTTTGCCTGGAGAATTAGTCGGCTTAAACAATTCAGCATTTTTCCACACAAAATATTCATTTCTAGGTATCAGCCCTGTTCATTTGGCAATACTCATGTAGCTCAGTGGTTAGAGCACTCGCCTCGCAAGCAAGAAACGGGTTCAATTCCCGGCAGGGAGAAATGATAGACAGGCTTCCTTACTCCACACACCTCTGTTTACCTAGCAGTAAGTAGGAATCTGGTTGTTAGTCAATTGGATCACTTTTCCAGGGGTAATAATTCCTTAAAAAAAATAATAAATTGGCCACGATAATCCACAATTGTTTGTGAGACACTGCTGTCCACAATTGGCTGTCGTGTTTTGCCCACAAATTATAGTCAATTCACTTTACAGTATATTCTGTGAAGCGTTTTAAGACGTCTCGAAGACATGATAATAATAATCCTTGCATTTGATATAGCACTTTTCACGTCTTCTAGACATCTCAAGGTGCTTCACAGAATATACTGTAAAGTGAATTGACTGTATATTTGTGGGCGAAACGCGGCAGCCAATTGCGCACAGCAGTGTCCCACAAACAGTCGTGCATTGAAGTGACTAATTTATTATTGCTTTTTTTTTGAGGGATTATTATTAAGCGTATGGAGTAAGGAAAGTTGCCCCAGGTTTCGCCCTTGCAAAGCAAGTGCTCTAACCACTGAGCTACAGAACTGCACAATAAGGTGCTATATCAAATGCATCGATTATTATATTATTATTTCTCTTACCCCTGGGTCAGAAGATTGTGGGATCAATTTACAAGTCAGGATTTGGTTATGCTGACTCTCCAGTGCAGTACTGGGGTAGCACTGCATTGCCAGCAATGCTGTCCTACAGAAGAGACATTAAACTGAATTCAGTTCATCTGTTTTGTGGACATTAAAAATCACATTAAACTACTCCTAAAGGGAATTTCTTCCGGTGTTCTGGTCAATAATCCTCCAGATAAATAATCCAAGTTAGTTACTTCATGGCTTTTTGGGAGAGTTCACTGTGTGGAAAATGTACCGTGCTTGCCTACAATAAACAGTCACAACATATAATATTTATTGTGAAGTGCTTTAAGAGATTTTCACACTATAGGCGCTATAATAAAACAAGTTTCTCCTCATGACCCATTGATGGAACCTATTCATTTGTCCACCTCAAAAGGGCATCAAGTTTAATGTGAAGGTTAACTTGTGCTGTGCGGAAGGGTTTAAACTAATTTCTAGGGGGAAGGGAATCAGGATGTAGCATTAGAGAGGACAAACAAGTTACATAGAGGGCTGGGAGAGATGAATGGCAATGTAATAAGGAGTAATCCTGAAAAAGAAGGGATTAGATGGGAGAGAAATGCAGAACAGACTAAGTCAGTCTTGGACTGCATGTGCGTAAATGCATGGAGTGTGACAAATAAGATTGGGGAGCTGCGGCTCAAGTTGCCACATGGGGTTATGATGTAGTGGCAATAACAGAGACCTGGCTCAAACAAGGACAGGAATTCCTGACTACAATGTATTCAGGAGGGATAGGAAAGGAAAAAAAGGAGGTGGGGTGGGTGGCAATATTGATTCAAGACATTATTACAGCCCTGGAAAGGGATGGTGTTCTTGAGGATCCGAAAACAGAATCTATTGGTTAGAGTTAAGGAGCAGAAAAGGAGCTGTTACTCCTTTAGGTGTATAGTACAGACCACCAAATAGTGGGAAGGAAATAGACAAGCAAATCTGCAAGCAGATTTCAGAAACCTGCAAAACCAATAGTGATATTGGGGGACTTCAACTATCCTAACATAGACTGACAAAATAACAGTGGAAAGGGCAAGGAGGAGGAAAGATTCATGAAATGTATGCAGGATAATTTTCTGGATTAGTATGTTTCCAGCGCAACGAGGATGACAGCAGTGCTGGATCTAGTTCTGAGGAATGAAGTGGGGCAAGTGGTGCAGGTTTCAGTGGGAGAGCATCTGGACAACAGTGATCACAACATCATTAGGTTTAGAGTACTTATGGAAAGGGCAAGTAGCAATCAAAGGTGAAGATACTCAACTGGAAGAGAGCTAATTTCAGTGAATTAAAAAGGGACCTAGCCAAGGTGGACTGGAAAGAAAGATTGGCAGATATTGGCAGCTAACGAGCAATGGGAAGCCTTCAAGGAAGAGATAGTTCGGGGATAGAAAAATCCAACAACAAAATTACGTCTATATGGAGCTTTTCACGTAGGAAGGACGTCCCAAGGCGCTGAATACATTCCTACAAAGTGGAAAGGTAGGGCATCCAAACCTCCCTGGATGACTAAGGAAATTGGGATTAAAATAAAACAGAAAAAGGAGG